ACCAGATGTCCCACAGTGGGTGATGCCATTTCAGCCAAAAATAAAGAGATGTGATGTAGAGCCTGGGCATCTTATTGACAATAATTTGTTACTCTTAAATCCTAAAAATAGCTCTTGGACCTGAGCAATGGGCTCCAACTCCTCCAGGTTGGAAACAAGAGGCTCAGGAAAGAATCTGCACTAGGCAAGAGACACAGACTGTAGTCTCTGTCACCCTTTCCCATCGCGATCATCAGTGTTTCTCATTAGCTTTGTGACCTTGGACAAATCACTTAACCTCTCTGTACTTAAGTAGCACCATCTTGTAAAATAGATAATAGTATTTAGATTATGCTTCATTGTTCACAAAGCATTTTCACTGACATCATTTGACTGTGAGGCAGATAGGGAAGGGCTGCTTCTCCAACCAATTGGACAGAAGTGGAAACTGAGTTACAGAGAGAAAGAAAGGGGCTCAAGGTCGCCAGTGTCAGCACCGTCAAGGACTAGATGGACTGACTATCTGTTGGTCTCTTAAGGCCCATTGTGTATCTGAGATCTGTGAAATATACATGGGGTCCCACAACCGGAAGGCCCTGCCTTTATCAGCTGCATCTCCTCTCAGACACCCTCCTCTCCAGGAGGACCCCTTAGGTGCTGATTGAGCACACTGCTCTGTGATTCATGAAAATTTGTGTCCACCAGTAATATTTCTTTCTCAAAGATTGATTTTGACTTTAGACTCAGCAGAGGGTAATAGAATAGAGTCACATGCAGTGACGCTCTCCGGGGTCTGAATTACATGCTCTATATGGAGAATACTGCCTTTGTATAATGGCCTAGAATTATGAGTTGTTTTCTAATCTGTGCTTGTTTGGCCCTATTTGTTAACCCAGCAATCCTCTCTAGGTCATGAAACACAGCTGTATTTGGGAGGAAACAAAGTGTGGGACACTCTATGCTTTAGGAAATATTCCTGAAATGTGCATTTTGATTTCTCCCTTCTAGGGGAAAGCAGATGTCAAATGATAACTTACTGGGTTTTAATCTGACCTTAAGAAAGCGGGAAATCAAATTATAGTGAACTGCATTCTGGCATTTATTGGAAGAGAGAAATTTAATAATCTAGAAGTAGGGTTTGGGTTGGCTAGACTACTTGATCATAGTTAAAAGTGTTGTACACTAATGGCTACTCGAATACTTGTCGATAAGTGAGAAAACATATATAAAAGAAAAGAAATACAAGTGTTTGTAATATGACTTAAGTGTACTCCATAAGGCCGAAACCGTAGAAATCACAGATGTTAATTCTGTTTATTAATTTATTTTTAAAAAGCTATGTTGACTTTTAATGATGAAAGTAGTTCACGCTTATTATAAATAATGAAAGCTATGTAGGAATATTTAAAGTAAAATTAGAACTACATTTCTCTAACTTCCACACCACTGTTCATCAATGAGCGACCTTTAAAATTCAGCCTTCCTTTGAGGAATGGGTGCAGTTCAGCAGAACTGGCTGAGTTAATTTAAGTTCTGAATTCAGAACAAAGTTGGTGACATTGGTTTTGTAAACTAATTAGATCACATGTATAATTGGGTGCCCTAATTTGAAGGGAGAGATTGATAAAGTACTCTCCGAAAGGGAGGCAACTAGAATGTTGTGGGCTCTTTGAAATCATCATACGAGGAATTAATGATTGAGGCAATCAGAGTACTTAATTGGAAGGTAAGAGTGAGGATGGATAAAAATCATGCATGGTAAAGTAATTCAAATATATGAAGTTCTGTCAAGTGAAAAAAGGAGTAAACTTCTGAATTGTCATTCATGCTAAATTCCGATTCATCGATTCATTCATTGATTCATTGATTCATTCATGCATCAGTAACTGAGTGCTTCTGTGCCAGGGATTAGGGATCTGTAGAGCTGAATAGAGCGTGGTCGCCTGCTCTCAAGGAGCTCAGAGACAAGTGGGTGGAAAAAGAGATGGAAACAAATAATTAAAATTTGACTTGGAAAGTATTTTCATAGATGTATGAATGCTGAGCAGAAAACAGAGAATATGACCAATGTGGTACAGGTTATAGGAAAGATAACTTTGATTTATTAAGATAAAGGCTTCTTGAATAAATAAAATTGCTCCAGAATGATACAGAAGATCAACCACTTGTGAGGGCTGAGGTTTTTAAGGACTTCAAGTAATGAAGAGTGAGATGGGGAGGAGAAATGTTGAATTCTAAAATTGTTTATTATCATGAAAATGAATTCTATAAAGTAAATGCTGTTTTGCTTGGTTTCTATTGTAAAACAGGGAATCTGTTCCTACAGTAGGGGAAAACATTTTAGTATAGTAAATCAAAAGCCTTTTGGGAATAAGGATATATGTCAACACACAATGTCTCATTAGAGCAGTGAGGATTTGATCTTTGATCGGCTAAGAGTTGTAGTCTCTACTTGATGCTTATTCAATTAAGAAATTTTAAGCCCTTATCTGGCTCATGGAAGTTGTACAGATAGAATGCAGCCCCTGCTGACTGTTCTTTTCAAATGTTGACACAAAACAATCACAGAGGATAAGTATAAATCAATATGCTAACAAGTGTGAGACAATATATAATATGAATTAGATGTGTAAATGTTTGAGGAAACTCAGGGTAAGAGTGATGGGTAAAATATTCTAGAAGAGGAGTGATACTTAATTATTAACTATAAATAACATATTTTTATAAAAATACCTTTTCCGAAATATTTAGTGAGAAGAATGTCATTATTTTATATTTTTGCAAATCTCTTTAATGTCTGGCTTAATAGAGGCCAACTAGATTCTCATGTCTGCTGCTACGTGTTTTGGATGGAGTATGTGAAGAATATCCAGCTTCACACGGATGTGTAGGAGCTTTTTTAGATAATTATGAATATTCTTTGACACTAGGGCAAGACTCAGAAAGAGGTAGCTTCTTAAAGGTTAGTTGTAATGTGGAATCAAACCATTCAATGAACTTTTTGTGTTCTGTTATATTAAAATCTACCAGCCTGGCTTGACTTTGAATGGATCATCATGCATGTAACGTCATGCGTTGGTCATTTGAAATATATTGGTTCACTCAGTTATGTGGATCTACCAAATGTTGACACATTTCATTATACAATGTAAAAAATTTATTAACAGCAACATTGATCTTATTTGAAAAGTCTGTATGGGGAAGGTGTCAGATCCACAATGTGGGATATGGGTTTTCTAAAATTTAATTCTCGCTTGAAAGCTTGAATTTTGTCATTGGCTGCAAATACTGTCAGTTTTTCTTAAAGTTTCAGCCTTGCTTCAAGAAATAGTCTGCAAGGTACCCAAATTTGAATGACCATAGTTTGTCAGTTATTTCAATTAAAAGTGATATTCCATGAAAAAAAAAGTGGCCAGGTCAGCTCTCAGCTCAATCACACACATGTATCCTTTTCCTTGAGACAGCTGTCATTTTCAGTAATGTCAGAAGTGCTTTATGCATACATTTCATTACATGCGATAGAATATTAAAAAGATGTTTACTCAAGGGTGAGCCTTTAATAAAATTTATAATTTTTACTGCTCCTTCATCAAAGGCATTTGTAAGTGAAACTAGCAGGGTTATTTTGTTCGTTTGTGTGTTTTTGTGTGTGTGTGTTTGTTTTTACTGTGAGTATGTGGTGATGAAGAGTACAGTGATGACTAGTATCATTTGGTGCCACCGCCTTGATTCAAGCTCAGGTGTCAGCATTTTACCCAACTTGCTTTTGTATCATCAGTGCAAATGTCAACAGAGTAAAGAAGGCAAATAACATTTTAGTGTTAGCATGTTTTGATCTTGAGACTTCCTGAAGGGTCTGAGAGACACCGAGAGGTCCACAGACCACACTTTGAGGACCGGTTCTCAAAGGTGTCTCCGGAGGCGTGGAAATGTCAAGTCTCTGTGTTTGTGTTTCTTCACCTTTACTTGATAATTTTATTGTGCAGCACTTTGTGAATATTTTTACTGAAGAACCCCAAAAGCAGAGAACTCTGAATACTGGGAACGCTTACTTCACCAGGGTTCTCCGCTTCTGAGAGCTTCTGAAGAATCCTTGAAGTCTTTTGTTCTTTCTGAAAATTTGGAGGAACATATACATTTTATTCTAGAATGTATGTCTGTTTGAAAATAAAAGGAATGTTTTAAATAAACTCATCAGTTAAATTATTTTTCTTCTCAGCAACTGTATATGTAACACCGTTGGTCTATGAAGATGCTCCATGTTTATTCCATGACGTTCTAGCCTGCCTGTTAGAGAGGGAGAGTTCACGTGGGTACCACGGCTCCGGCATGAGTTATCTCGGAGAATGCATAATCGCATATAAGAGATGGCTATAGTTTTCAGGCCTGGGGAACTAGGAGTATTTCTGGCCTTCTCGAGTTCTTCTAGGTTGCTAACTATATTCACCATTCGTTAACCAGCTCACCCCAGGCAGAAACCTGGGTATGATCCCAGAGGCCGTCCTCTTCCTTTCCTCTCTCAACGAATTGATCACCAAGTCTTGTTGATTCGACTTCAAAAATATCTTTAGAATTCATGGTGCCTGCTCCTTGCACTGCTTTGGTTCTGTGCTGTCATTTTCCCTCATAAGGACTGAGATCTTTGTCCCCCCGCCCCCCATCCAGATAATCCTTATTGAGGATCTTTAGCATTCCCTAAAAGGATAAAGTTTGCTGTTTTTAGCAAAGTATAAACATCATCTGAACCCCCCTTTCTTCTGCCTTCCTGTATGTCCCTTGTTTCAGTCACACCAGATTATCTGTTTTGCAAACTGCCACGCTCCTTACGTCTTCTTACTTTGGCATATTCTTGTCTCTATTTCTGGGATGTCTTCAACCCACCTGATTTGCCTAATAACTTTCTACCTGTTCTTTGAGAAGCCGTCCTGTTTCCCCTCCTCCCTACCGTTTTCCCACTTATTGGGCAGCCGTAGGCATCCCCTCCCCTGGTTTCCATAGGCCATTTATAATTCCTGCCATGGTACATTATAATGACTTATTCATCTATGCCCTTGTTGACGGTTAGCTTTTTAAGGGTGTGGACTATTTCTTATTCATTTTTGCACATAATAGTACCTGGCATATAGTAGGTGGTCAGTAAATATTGCTGAATAAATGAATGAATGAATAAAATTAAGAACAGGTCTCAGAATCAAAGACATAGGAGGTATTCCGTAAACGTTGTTGGTTGAATGAATGAATGAATGAATGAAGTTTAAAATGGGTCACAGAATCAAAGGGTCTTAGGGGTAGAAAGAATTTGGAAGAACATCTCCTGCTGGCTTCCTCTGTCAGAAGTGAGAAAACAACTTGGCTGACTTGTACAACTGGGCTGGGTAGGAGAGATGACCAGTGCCACGGACACTCACTTGGATGTGGCCTGGAGATGACTGGAGAAAGTCATGTGCTCCCGGAGGAGACTGCTGAGAGGAGCAGAGGCCGTGGCCTGCACCACAGGGGGATGCCACAGTCTCAGAGCAAGAGAGAACGTTTGTGGTTGGAAGTCTGTGGCACATTCCAGACTGCAGAGTCTCCCCTCAGCTATTGGCTGCTGCTCTCTCTCTGTCCTCACACTGTGCCAAGACTGTAAGATTTTCCTGATGACTGGGCATATTCCACATCTGGATTCCATGCTCATAACAACTAGAAGTTTCCTGTCGTCTTGGGTTGAGGTGATTATGATATAGAGCTGGGTACCCATATCAACAATTTTGAGGTAAGCCTCTCTATTTAAAATGTAATGTTCTCTCATCTGAGATTTCTGGGTGTGTAGGAGGGAGGGAAAGGGGAAACTGTTACTAAGTGCTAACTGTATGCCAAGTGCTTTACTTCATAATTCTGATTTACCTTCTCAGTAACCCTGTCAAAGTGTGGGTATCAGTATCTTATCCTAGAAATGAGAGAATGGGCTTAGTGGGTTTAGTGGGAGGCAGGGTGAGATTTGAGTAGAAGCGTCTGGAGTTAAAATTTCTCTCCAAGCTTGTGCCTTTTCTGTTTGCCAGGCTGCTTCATGTTCTATAAATGTTCCATAAGTAGTTTTTTGCCATGCAAAACCTGTCGTGGCCTTATTTGATCAATTTGCTAAGTTCTTGAAGTTGTGTCTATTTCATGCACTTAAGAGGAAGAGAAGCTGTAGTTTCGTAGTTTCTGTCGTCTGTGCTTTGCCATCTCTGCAGGACCACCGGTGGATGAGAGAAGGAGCAGGTGTTATGACCCTCCTTTATGGATGAGGGATCCAGATAATGGAGGCAGAGTGTTCTACATCTGTCTGGTTCATCACTGTATTCCTAACAGCCAGTGTGTGGCTTAGCATTTAGTAGGCTCTCTGGTTTTTGTTAAACATCGGGAGTTACGTAGCTGGTAAGTTCCAAATTCTGATTAGAATCCAGAACTCCAGGTCTCAGAGCAGTGCCCCTTCCACTACTAAACTGTCTCGCTTTTCCCAAAGCTTTAAGCAGAGAGATGCAAAAATGAACTCTCTCTCATTAGCAGGGGTGGGGCTTGGGAACCCTCTTGTATGATGGATTTCCATAGATCTAAATAAGTTCAAGTGGCCCCTTAGAAAAAAATCTTTCTTGCTTTTGTTTCTCTTCCTTTAAATATTTCAATATAGGATTTTAAGTCATTTCCTATCTACCTGACACTTCCCAATAAAACGACTGCAAAGGGATCAATAATCCAATACTGGATTCATAGAGGATTAGCACCAGGAGGATTTCTGCAATCATCTAAAAAATACAGTGTTTTTCAAAATTAAAACTAAACTAAAACAAATAGTGGAACCCTTGCCTTGATGGAGAACTCCAATATATAGACAGATCAAAGCTGCCATGCTGGTGAGGAATAGACTAAGGAAAGGAGTAGCGATGGATCCGTCGAGCCATGTCTTTCCCTGGAGTCTCAGGGCTCCTTGAGGAATGGTTTATAAATCACTGATCAGTTCTAACCCTTCATTTTATAGGTCAAGAAACAGGCACAAAGGTGCTTAGTGACTCACACAAGTGGCTGGATTAAGAAGCTGATGATGAAACTTGTCACTGTCTATCTGAATTTCCAATACTCTTTGAAAGCACCATCCTGCTTTTATTGCAGAGAAAAAGTACCTATTCTTTAGAGCAGGGGTCAGCAAACTACGGCTTGTTTTTGTGCAGTCCTTGAGCTAAGAATGGTTTTTACATTTTTCAAAGGTTGTTTTAAAAAAAAGCAACAACAACAAAGAATATGGGACAGAGATTATGTGCCTCACAAAGCCTGAAATGTATACGATCTGGCCATTCACAGAAAAAGGTTGCCAACCCTGCTGACCAGGATCCACTACTGCTGAGAATAACGTGGTGATACCAGTAGGATTTGGCTTTCTCTAAGTAACTTCAAAACATGTAGGTTTACAATATAGCCTGATTAATTGAGCATATTTATATCAAAAAGCTTTTCAAACTTGTGTTCCTCAAATGAACTTTAAATTGCCCAGTACATTTTTATCTTCCTCTCCACATACAAGTTTTCTGTGGGAGTTAAGCTAGTTAACTACATTCTTATATGACAAACATGGCAGCTAGAGAACTGCAGACAGTTCTATGAGACAGAAAGAAAGTGGTGTGCTTGTTCAAATAACAGAATTAAGGCATTTTATAGACCCCTCCCCCCGCCTCCCGCCCAAAGGTCTATAAGAATGAAAGGAACTGACATATGAATAATGTAAGAGGTCACTCTTTGGGGCTGTGAGGTTCCTTTGGGATCCTACATATTCAATGCCAAAGGTTTTTTTTTTTATTTTGTTTTTTTTTATTTTTTTTTGCATTTACCTTAGGTTGAGCCTTCATCTGAAGCAGGAGTAGAGTGTATTCTCTAACCTCATTTTTGCCAGAAGCATCGAGCTCTGTTGGGAAGTTGGTTAGCGTTAGGGTTTCTCCTTTGGAGCGTTACTCTTGGTGACAGAGCACTAGAGAACAGGGCCAGATTTCTTCCAGGTGAAAGACCTCAGAAGCATTCTTAGTGAAACCCCAAGAAGAAAAGAAACCAGCCCTGGGGTTCTTCCAAGAGAATTAAAGTGGATAAAACCATCGGATTGGATTGCGCGGAGGGGATGGTTGGGTATCTGGGCCCTTGGAATTGCCTCGGGGTTTCATTTCCGTTTGGTCATCCATCCTTAACTTCTTACGCGTGTGCCAGAAGGTGGGGTGGG